ACAACTCTTAAGTAACATTGGTACACAGTTGTAGTGTAATTGGCAGAATTTTTTTAATGGTGTGTAAAATAATTAGCCATGTCTTAGATTCAACAAATATAGGCTACTTTAATCACTGAAAGTTTAGCAAATCACATATTAATATTACAAAGCAGCTGTAATCATTAACCTCTTTGATTTCCCTTTTGAAGTTTTTTCAAGTTGTCATAATCTGTTGAAGTTGTTATCTTCTACAAGTTTTATGGGAAATCTGAGTGAGCCTTATCTTGAAGCAAAACTTTTCCACTTGGCATGTTGCTTTGATTTTTATGTCTCACAAATTGCATATCTTTAAAAAAAATAAATTATCTTAGAAATTAATGAGTGTTATCAGGGCGAAGGTTTTATACCTACAAACTATGTGGGGCATAGAGCATATGGGCACACATTCCACAGGAACATCTGTATAACCACACTGATTATTAAAATGTTGGGATATTTCTATATGCCAGGAGGTAAAAGCCACTTGCTTTTGAACCCCTCCTACCACCTATGACCTTCCCAGGATGCAGCAACTAAGGTGAGAGATGTAGCAGAGTTGTTCTGGGACCTTTCTCTAGTACTTTGTCCTCAGATGGATATAAGGATGCTGTAGAGTCCCTTGGTAAACGTTCTGTCATTTCTTGTCTTTGGTTGCTGTGACAAAAATACCACATATTGGTTGCTTATCAACAACAAAAATTTGAGGCTGGAAAGTTGAAGATGGTGATGTCTGGTGAGCAAGCACTACTCCCTAGTCATAGATGGAAGGGGATAGCTAGCTCTCTGGAGCCTTTCACAAGATGCCCTTATAATGGTCAACTCCAACGGCTCTACTTCTATTGCCATCACTTTGAGGATTATATTTCAACAGAAGAATTTCTGGGCAATACATTTAAATTGCATCATTGTATCTATAATAATGAGAACCATTTGTTTTTTTTTTTATAAGCTTAAGGGAAATGAACTGAACTTAAATAAACAATTCTTGGTTTGATTTCTAAATTTCTGTAAATTCTGATTGGTCCTTGTAGCTTTTGAAGAACAAAGCCATCAGTTCTGGGCCCTTGGGCTAAGATGGAGTATAGCAGACAGCAGTGTTCCATGGGTTCACAATGTGGATATATTTTAGGCTTAATGATAGCTCAGCTACAAAACAAAACCAAAACCAAAGCTGGACAGTTACTTGATTTTTTTTTTAAGATTGCAATTATGGAAGTATTTTGAATAATGACAGAGTTAAATGACATTTTATATTTTTCTTAGTAAAAGACAAATACTTGAATAATTTGATCAAATTGTATTAGAATAAAATGCCTAAGCTAAAGACAAATAATTTATTTGAATATTTTTGGTGGTCTTCACCAGTATTAAGAATTAGTAAAAGCTGGATTCAAATAAACAAAATGTTGGGGTTTTTTTTGGTCAGTCGTGGGGCCTGGGTGCTGTCCCTCAGGCTCTTCAGCTCAAGGCTAGCGCTGTACTGCTTGAGCCACAGCACCACTTCCAGCTTTTTCTGTTTATATGGTGCTGAGGAATCAAACCCAGGGCATCATGCATGTGAGGCAAACTCTCTACCACTAAGCCACCTTCCCAGCCCCTTAAATAATTTTTTAAGTTTTTATTTTTTTGTCAGTTGTGGAGCCTGAACTCTGGGCCTGGTGCTGTCCCTCAGCTCTTCAGCTAGCACTCTACTACTTGAGCCACAGCATGACATTTGGCTTTTTCTGCTTATGTGGTGCCGAGGAATTGAACCCAGAGCCTCATGCATGCAAAGCAAGCACTCTCCCACTGAGCCACCTTCCTAGCCCCTAAATTTTTTTAAAAAAACTTCTATAAGCAGGATAACAGATTTTGCCTAAAAAAAGTGAACGGTACCTATAGCAGTAAGATAATCAACTTAAAGGAACTCTGTGGGTTTGCTTTTGAATTATTTCTTAGAAGTCTACATTTATAACGTCACAAGAAAAAAAACTACTTCAAGCTTTTTATGAAATTAGTGGTTACTTAGAATTTCAGTACAAATCAGCAGCCCCAATATATTGAAAAGCAAAGCTAAACCAATAAAAATGAAGAATCCAAGTTCTTTCCATAGGGCTACAAACCCTATTGTAGTTAGAATTTGTTCTATAAAAATAAAAAATGAATTAAGGTAATATATGATCACCAAAATAGGACTTCAATTTCTAACAAGAGGAAACAACTCTAATGCAAAATCATAGTACCTTATAAAAATGTAATTGACTATTACCATAGTTATAAATGTATGATATTCTACCAGACATGTAGATTACAAATGTGACCCTAATGAAGAATAAACTAACATAAGAAAAGCTATAAAGACATAAAAAATGGTTGTTACTGTTGTATTTACAGTATTTCTGAATTGAACTGGACTTTTCTTGCAATTAGCTTACTGCTTTTCTTAAAGTATTTTCTTTAACACTGGTTTTCAAATGTTAAGGTGACCAAACACTTGGAAGGCACAATGCCCTTTACCTAATATCATAATATACTGAGGTATTTAATTCCAGTATAAAATTATATAAGCTAGGAGCAATTTTACCAGCAGGAAATACAACTTTACTATGGCTTCTACATCTCAAAATATACTACAACTATAAAATGAAACATTTATTGGACTACATTTTATAAGATAATAAATAACACAATTTGAACTAGGCCAACCATCTAGAAACCTTAGAAAGGCTTGATTCAAAGATGAATTGGGTTTGAGACAACTGTCTAGTTTCTTCACATTTCTTGCACTTTTTGTCTAATCTTAACTTCCAGATCTCTTAGCTATCTTGTAGCCTATTCATCTTATCTTGGCCCAAATATTACCAAAGTGTTGACTCCTACCTGCATTACCTGTAGACATGTCTTCATGCACTCCAGTATCTATGCAGCCAATTCCTAGTAAGCCACAGGAAGTAGGGTCCTCCAGCAGACTGTCCACATTTTTTTTTGAGACAAGATATCCCCAAACTACCATACAGATGGTTTGGAAAAAAAAAAAAGTTAAAGTGAGTAATTCCTATATTTTTCCTTTATCAGATTTTGAGAATTTTTCTGTGTATTGTATCTCATTCCCAAAGCATTTCAGCTTTAGGCTAGTTGGAAACTATACTGAACCTCTCTTGCTATGGTTTGAGTATTTCTAAAAACTCAAGCTGAAACCTAATTACCAATATATGAGGAGGAAGGGCCTTTGAAAAGTGCTTAAACTGTGAACTTGGAGCCCTCATACGTGACATTACGCCCTTACTAATGATGATTCAGAAAGCTACCATGTAGGCAATGACCAAGGAACACAGAAACTAGAAAGAGGTTCTCATTAGACATCAAATCTGCTGGATTTGACTTAGGATTTCCCAGCATCCAGTCCGGTGAGAAATGAATTATGGCATTATTTAGGGTATTTTGTTATGCCTGGTCAAATACCCTTGGTAAGTTTAACTTGTAATAGTAACAAATTCATGTATTGAAAATTACTTGTCAGATGCATGATACAGTTAACCTTAATCTAAATGTATGTATTCTTCAGTGAGGAAGAGATGTAGAAAAATTAGGCAACTTTACCCAGGAACATTTGGTTAGTAAGTAGCCAAACCAGGAGCCCAATCTAAACTCTAGGACTCCCAATCCTAGGTATCTGTCACAGTGCTTTGCTGTCACCATCAAGTGTTTGTCTGCATTATAAATAGACTTTTATGCTCCTTCTTTTCCTTTCCTTTTTCTTTCTTGTCTTTGTTTTTCTATTTCCACTTGAGATTACTCTCAGGTATCCACAAATAATCTCATTGCTACTTGCTACTAAGAAGATCACAGCAGAGCCCAAGGCTATGCTAATCAGATCTTAAGAGGAATGAAAGCACACACCTTAAAAATTCGTCTTGGGTATTATAGGCAGTAAATATTTTAATGTTGTTTGGAATCATTGAGGAATAAAGAATTCAACATTTCTTCCAGAGACTTGCATTCTCTGCATCCCTATAAAAAGGCAGCTGAACTTTTTAGAAAGACTCATGTTTCCCCATGACCTCAAAGCTCTCTTCACCGTATTTCAGTAGCACTATTCTTAGCGCTACTTCAGTTTTTCTACTCAATAGATCAATGATCTGCCAACTATCTATATAAAGTGATTATTCCTACTTTGTAAGTCAGTCTTGTTCATGGCTGTTCATGTGGCTGAAACTCCAAGACATTCAAAACCAGATCATTACTACATTAAAATTCTTAAAAAGCAATGAACAGTATTATTCTGACACTTCCAAGTGTAAATTTTTTCAGGTAATTAAAATACACCTTTACTTTTAACAATGCATTTTGATAAATTTATAGGAATATAAATACTTTGGCCAAATAGCATTATTTAGCTTTTCCTTGGTTGAGATTTACTATTATGAACATATATTATGCATACACACATTAACATATAACTGCACTTATAGTTTTGCTGTTCAAGCAATTTCTCCCTACATTATATAGTCTCTGCTTATGACAGAATCTAAAGACTGTTCAGTCTTTTGCACAAGCCAGCTTAGTTTCCTTTCTGCCTAACATTCTACAGCTCTCCCCAGACTGCTTTGCTAGATCTATGGGCTTGAAAGTGTTTTCACTGAAGTCATTGCAATAACTCACTCAAGATGTCAGTGGATCTTCTCCCAAAAGAGAAAGACAGCTTTTACTTACAGACTTGGTAGCATCTGTGTGACCTATATTGCTTGTAAGTATTTCTATGTGCTTAAATTATGTTAGGTCTTCCTACAATTTCCTAATGGTCACTGCTTTAAAATATTTAAGCAAAACTCTCTAAATGAAAATTTAATTTTCATAAATGTCAATGGACTTTGAATTGGTATTCTTTGGCAGTATGTTCAGAGAAATAGTGACCAGATCCTAACACCAGGAATTAAGAAAGATTGCCAGTATGATTTCTGGTGAGAAGCATTTGACTTTCCAGTGTTCACTGTCATAAGAAGGTTGATAGTTCAAACAATTTATTGCTGCTTTATAGTAGACATAATTAAATGAAACATGTTAAACTCAAGGGAATTTTTAATAGGTTACTTGCAATTGTTATTGCAGGCAACAACTTGTACATGATTTTATTTCCAAATCCACAAAAAACAAATTTTATACAAATCAGCACTGTAAAAATGTCAATTACAGCCCCAGAGGCTTTGCTGGCAGAGTAATTGTCTAAATTCTAGACTATGGGAAACAAGGGTGGTTTTTTTTGTTTTTTGTTTTCCTGATTCATCTTTTTTTTTCTTCATTTTCTTTTTTACAAAAAAAATTTACAAGTGAAATGTTACTACGAAAGTTTTATAAGGAATTTTTGCAAAACATTTACATTTTACCATCAACTATTTCTGTTTTAAAATCATCATGTAGATTTAATACCCTATGCTGCACATCAATTTATGTGGGATGACAACTTAGTGACATGCATAAAAAAACACCACAAGGCATTAAAATGGGAGACTTAAATACAAATATTGTTGCAATAAAACAGTTATAAAATTGAAAAATAGGACCTAAGCCTCATGCTTATCTAAGTTTGACAAATTAACTTTTTCTCCTAGATTACACACTTTTATTACTGCTCTCATGAGAGTGTGATAAATAATGACTTAACATCAAGTTCTAATGTAATCAGCAACACATACACAAACCTAACCAAAGAAAGTATACTGTAAGAAAAAACTATTCTAACACTGGAGTTCTACCATGATAAATACATAGCTTTGCACTGATAATTACAATAAAGAAAAGTTTATAACGGTGGCCAAGGGAATGAACAGTGAAATGCCATTAAACAAGGCTCTACTGCACATCTGTGCCCTATTACTTCTAACAGCTATATCCCACTGCGTCAAATAAAGGACATTGAAATTTACGATTCTTGTAAGACAGAAAAGTAGGTTCAGAATGGTATGCAGAATAGACTGTCAAAATATTTCTAATTTCAGGGGTGAAATGTGCACCTGCTAACACAAATTAATATATTTTATATGCTATAAAGCTATCCAGATTCAGGTTGATAAATTTATAATAGGCCTCATTGTTGATTAAAAAAAATAACTTGCATTTCTGATGAACACACATAGGTTCATGGAATCCTAATGCAGAGTGCTCATAATTGCTATTAACAACAAAAGTGTCACTCAGAAAAAAATGATTAAAACATTAAGAAAGTTCTTTGCATAAAAAAATTTATAGCACTGATTGTGTAGCATAATGATAAAATATATATTTGATGTTTCAGCTCCTATATAATAAAATTAAAATTAACACTACCAAATGCTCCTCTGTACCAAACAAAACAACAAACTGATTCTGATGTTTTAAAGCCAGATACATCAGTTGTTAAGAGTACATTAAATAAAATATACAAAACAATTTACAAAATCCAACTAAAATTTAAAGACTTTGTTACAAGTCTACAAAAGCTTTAAGAAACTTGAAATTTATAACCACAGTGTAAAAATTTTTTTCCTTTAATCTCAAAGCTTTTTTATACAAACTGAAAGCACAAAAGACTTTCAGCTTTATATAACGCTACAAAGGGCTGGCCTAAAGTGAGCATAGTGTAAACAGTGGTCATTACAGTATTTCTCCTTCATCAAAATACAAGAAACATCACAATTTTGGAAGAAAGTTCTCATGAGTAGTACTTTTCCTGAAATAATAGAGAAAGCACAAGAAAACATGTACCTATGTTCAAACAGTGCCCACACCAATCTGTTAATAACCAAACAGGTAAAAACTGGTTTTCAATGATCAGTTTCATTCATTGTGATTCTGTGTAAATACTTTTTTTAAACATGAAACATCATTACTGATTTAAGCTACTGAAATAATCAATTTTTTTATATCAAACTTTTGGCCATCTTTCCTAATAAGACACTTTGCTAATAAGATCCTTGCATAAATGAAATATATTTTTTCTTTAGTCACTATTTGAGTGAAAAGTATTCTGGGTTTTCAAAAATAATTTTTGCTTCATAATATCTCTTATATATTTGCTAGGCCGTCTAGTTTTTTTAGGGAAATTCTGTTATTGACATAACAAAAAGACATTACTGAGATGTAAATTAACTAACCTTCTAACACACTACTGAAAACAAAATGTAACTAACCAATTTTTAGTAAAGGAAACAAACTACTATGCAGTTAAAAATAAGTTTCTGCTGGCCTTGAAAAAGCATGATAATTCTTTCTTTGGCTACCAAGTCAAAGCATAAAGAATTCTGCACATTGCAACTTATATTTACACAATATGAAACTACAAAATGATTTATAATCTATGCAAGTATTTCCAATATAAACATTTTAAATCAAATTTTGTAGTTTAACCTAAGGTTAGGAATATAATCAACTTTAAAGCATAGTATGTTAATAAGTCGCTTCACTTTATTTTTTTTGAAGCCATCATGAGTTCTATTTTAACCATTTTTCCCCCTAGCATCTGCCTAAGATTTCAATCTAAAATTTAACCTAAGATTTAGCTCTATGTTCTGCTTTTGTCTCCAAAATGGAGAAAGTAATTGAATTTCACTGATTGTCTGCATACACACTACTATAATGTAGTGGTAATAAAGATCTGAGACATATCTCAGATGACTGTTTTGGGAACTTACCTAATTCAACTCCTGAAGAATTTCTAACATTTAGAAAAGACGGCCAAAACTATTTTTGAGTTGATTTTCCCGAAATCAGCTATGGAAATATATTTTCCCTATTATCAATTTACTATCTGTTTTCTGTGCTATAAAAAGAAATATGCATAAATTATTACTGACTGAATTTATAACAAAGTACTTCCAAAGAAAGAAAGTCCAACTAATGTCTAGCCTGCAAACTACTGAGATTTGTCCTTTTAAATGTGTCAACACATGTTAAAAGAGGGGAGAGGATTCTGTTTAAAGGTGATGTGACATACTTCCAACAATTACAATTTACAGTATGGAGGAAATACTTTTCTGCTTCCAGTACATCAGTTTGCTTTTACTATTTTTTTTTTAATTCAACACTTGGTGTGTTGAAACAAAACCCTGGAAAATACTTAAGCCAAGAATGAAAACATGATTTCCTACTCTATAATCCACTTGACCAGCCCATTTCCAGATTTTCAGAGGTGTGTAAACTTAAGTGCAGCACTAGAGGTCTCTGTTATAAATAACTTTTCAGAATTCTTCCATGTTGGTTGAAACATTGGGAGTTGCTGGATTCGAATCTTGAGAAATGGCTGCAACTGTGACGATTCTTGGGGAGCCAAGCACCTCTGTAACAGATGAGTCCAGTTCTCCCGAGGTAACAATGGCAAGAGCTGTCCCACCTCCTTTCTTATTCTGGTGTGTTTTGACATGTTTGGAGAGATGATCACTCCGCATAAACCTTTTAGAACACTCTGGGCATTCAAATCTCTTTTCACCTGTATAGAAAAAGAGCAAATGAAGCTATAATTTTTAATATTCTCTTTTTGTCACCTACTTGTTAGGTGGTCGGATTTTTATTTTTATTACTTTGTTGGAGGCTTGAATTCAGGCCTAGGTGCTGTCCCTGAGCTCTTTTTCTCAAGGCTAGAGCTCTACTGCTTTGAGCCATAGAGCCACTTCCAATTTTCTGGTGGTTAATTAGAGATAAAAGAGTCTCACAGACTTTCCTTCTCCTGGCTGGTTTCAAATTGTGATCTTCAGATCTTAGCCTCCTGAGTAGCTAGGATTATAGGCATGAGGCACCAGAGGACTTTTTTAATGGTCCTACTCTATGTACATCCTTTTCTTTTTATTTTGTTTAAAAATGCTATCAAACAAACAGTATAGTACAAGAAAAACCCCATGTGATCAAGAGTAAAAGGGTAAGTTAACCATTCAGGGCCTCCATTTTCCTACCCAATAAATAAGAGGATTGCTAGAAGATGATATTGAAAACACCAGTCTCATGCCTGCATTTCTTTAAAATTGATAAGGGGTTTCCATTTTAATCTCCAGAAGCGTATTTCAAATGACTTTAAATTAAGATTACTGTGATTTTCAAAATGCAAAATGAAGGGGAGAGGGAGAAACATGCTGTTTCTGTTACACAAAATAATTCTTCCATATTCTCTTTGAAATTTAAAATGGTCCTAGTAGAACTACTGCTACACTTTGGAATAAATAAAAGCTAAAAAGGATACTAAAAAGCCATCTTACTTTTTTTTTTTTTTCTGGTTATGTGGTGCTGAGGAATGGAACCCAGGGCCTCATGCATGCAAGGCAAGCGCTCTACCACTGAGCCACCTTCCCAACCCCCCATCTTACTTCTATATATAGCATAATAGAAAAATTTGGTTAATTGATATATCCTGATATTTTCAGTGGGTTTTAGTCTTTTCTTCCAAAATTGTTGTAAGAATAAACCAATGTCTTCCAGTGTGATGTAGAACTTGGATAAGAAAAAAAAAACCATTTTGGCTGATTTTTCCCCCTCTTGCTCCACTTTTGACTTACAAAAAGAAAAACTGCTACAAGCTTAAATTTTGCTGAGTCAGATACTTTCTCCTTCTATGTGCTCTCTTTTGACTTTTTTTTAAAAAGCAATTTAATTTACACTTTTAGAACTTTTTTTTCCTCTTTCAAATTTTGGTAACTTAAAGGTTAAATACATGCTTTAGGTAAAATTCTTGTAACATCTAAAATAAAGGCAGTAAATCTTTAAAGCAACTTGACTATGTGAATGATGGCACTTAGGTATCAACTAATATACAGTGGCAGATTTTGCCATGTTTATAAACCTCAGTCTTTTTTTCAACAAATACCTGTAGAAAATCCACAATGTGCCAAGCAGTGGTGACAGGAAAAAATAAACAACCAAGAATCTCTGGCTTTAAAGACATCTATTGATAGAGTTATTTGCAGTGAGCTATCAATGCCAATTAAGAAATAAGGGAATTTGCCTCCCCAGCTACCCGGTGACCTGGTTAGTATGTAGACTTCCAAGCCTGTCTTCTCACTAGTGGTGTGGGTAGACAAGTAGTTTCAAGCAGTAAAAAGGTGGTTAGAATCTCAAATATTCAAGTCATATTGTACAATTACACTTTCATTAGAGATATGACTCATTTTAGGCTATTATACTTTCCCACAGAGAAGTAGGTTTTCTGTTGTATCAGATAAACTTCATTTTCCCACCCTTAGCAAACATTATTAGTATACTTTAAGAATGTTAGCAGTGCTTATATTAACTATATGTCTTTTTCATAATTAGAACTATTTTACTTTATAATTATTCACAATATATGATTACCTTTGATAACGAAAGCATCTCATTATTAAAACTGTTGATAATAGCAACGGTGGTAAATAGAATGAACATACAAAGATGTCCATGTCCTAGAAATTGTAAATACATTGTGTTTACATGGTAATAGTGTTTTTTGTACATGTATCGAAAGTTATGGAAGACAATACAGGGCAATTATTCTGAATTATCTGTGTGGGCCTAATCTGATTACATGAGTTGTTCAAAGCAGAACTTTCTGCAGTTTAGAACTATGAGAAGGACCTGACCTGTGTTGCTGGAGGAGGACATGTGGCCAACTATGAGAAAAATATGAGCCTTCAAGAGCAGAAGTAGCCCTTAGTTGATAGCCAACAAAGAAGGGGACTTAAGTCCAACAACAACAAAGAGATGAATTTAACTGACAGTAAATAAGTTTGGAAGCAGGTTTTTCTCTAGTGCCTGTAGGAGGAAATGCAGCCCTGCTGACACCTTGATTTCAGGTCTATGAGAAGCTAAATAGGACATTTCAGCAAAAGCGAAATAGGACATTTCAGTGAGCCCAGTTGGACTTCTGACTTAAAGAAACTATGAAATAATAAATGTTATTTCAAGCCACTAAATTTATGATGTTTTCTTAAGCTCAATTTGTTGATCATTTTAATAAAATAAACACTGAACTGGGTGCTGGTGGCTCATGCCTGTAATACTAGCTACTCAGGAGGCTAAGATCTGAGGATCACAGTTTGAAACCAGTCCAGGTGGGAAAATCCATGAGAATCTTATCTCCAATAAAATACTCAGAAAAAGCAAGAAGTGATATTGTGGCTCAAGTGTAGAGATAGCCTTGAGCACAAACAGGCTCAGGGACAGCACCCAGGCCTAGAGTTTAAGCCCCAGGACTGGCTAAGCAACAACAAAAAACACAGAATAGACACGGAACTTTAGTAATTATGTAATTTTTTTCTTTTATCATTAATATGGTAAATGATACTGTCTATAACTGTTTTCATCTGTTGAAACAGGCTTTATTCCTAGAGTAACTCTATTTAGTGCTGATGTATTATCCTTTCTATATATTGCTGGTTTTAATTTGTTAATAGTTTTTTGAGAATATTAACATTTAAATTCATAACACTCTTCTGTAGTAATACCATTGGTTTGTTATGAGCCTGATACAATGAGTTGGTAAATATTTCCTCATGATTCATTTTCAGAAACAGACTATGTAGAACTGGTATTAAAGAAGAAATACTTCCTCAAATTGTGGGGTTTTTTTTTTTTTGGGGGGTCCGGTTGTGGGGCCTGAACTCTGTCCCTCAGCTCTTCAGCTCAAGGCTAGAGCTCTACCACTTGAGCCACAGTGCCACTTCCGCCTTTTTTCTTTTTGCTTATGTGGTACTGAGGAATTGAACCCAAGGCTTCAGGCATGCAAGGCAAATGCTCTACCACTGAGCCACCTTCCCAGCCCGATACTTCCTCAAATTGTATAATTACACAATAATATCATCTGGGCCCAGGGTTTTCTTTGTTGAAAGTTTTAAACTACAAACTAAATTTCTTTAATAGAGATAGGGCTATTGATGGGATCTATTTCTTTCTCATTTTTTTTTAAATGAAGTTATCGCTGGGCTAGTTTGACTTCTCTAGCTGTACTGAAATCATGTGCAACTTAATTTTGCTGCTCTAACCCTTGCCTATTTCTTCACAAGCAGGTATTGGCAGATACATACCTTTTTAAAGAGATACTTCTGAAATGTAAGGGGGAGAGTTATATACAATATTTGTTTATTGACCATTTAATATCTATTTTTGAGATGCTGATAAAGGTTCCAGAATAAACTGGCTAGAGTACTTCAGCAAACCAGATTTGGGGTTGAGGGGCTGAGTACAGTTTATCTCAGTGGTATAGCACATGCATGATACCTTCCCAGGGTCTGATGCCTAGCACTACTTCCAGAGGGTAGGGGAGTGGGAAAGGATGTGTCAACCAAATGGCAACAAACTCCACATTCCAATTCTCTTCCAGATGTTTGTTTGATTGCCCACCCTACCGATTCAGTTTATTTTCCTTTTTTATTTAACTTTGTTTTGGATTTTCATTTTATAAGTGAAAAGTTTTTAATGATTAACTTAAAATTTTGTGTGTGTAAGCGTGTACACGCACGCAAGTGCACACTGGTCTGGGGGCATAAATTCAGGGCCTGGGCACTGTTCCTAAGCTTTTCTACTCAATACTAGCACTCTAACCATTTGAGCCACAGTTCTATTTCCAGCTTCTTTGGTAGCTGAGCATGAGACTCTCATGGATTTTCCAACCTAGGCTGATTTTAAACTGAGATCCTTAGATCTCAGCCTCCTGATTAGCAAGGATTATAGGTGTGAGCCAAGTAGTGCCTAGCTAAATTTTTTTAATATAAAAATCAATGGGAGGACTTAGTGTTATGAATTCACTTGAATACTGCTTTACCTGCATTCTACAAATTTAATTATGTTGTATTTTCTTTCAGTTGAAGGTATTTTCTAATTTCCCGAGACTTTTCTTGACCTAGGGAATATTCAGAAATGTGCTGTTTAATTCCCAGTTGGATATTTTTGTTATTTATATTTCAAGTTTAGCTCAATTATAATCTGAAAGCATGCTTTATTTCTTATTTTTTTGTCAGTAACAGGTTTTGAACTCAGTGCTTACTTGATGGGTTGATATTCTACCACAAGAGCTAGAATTCCAGTCTGCTTTTTTGCTAGTTATTTTTAGAAATGGACTTTTGAGGACTTCTTTGCTGACTCTATTTTGAACCACAATTCTTTAGATCTCAGTCTCCTGAACAGTTAAGATTATAGGCATAAATCACTGGCATACAACTTGAAATCACACTTTGTATGATTTATTATGGTGTGTTCTATGGCCCAAAATATAGTCTTCCTTGTATTCTTGAATATATATTCTGCTAGAATACACTTTAGAGTAAGTTTTAATGTATGGAGTATGCTTTTTTTTTTTGGTCATTTGTGGGACTTAAACTCTGAGCCTGGCACTGTACTGAGTTCTTCAGCTCAAGGTAAATGCTCTACCACTTGAGTCATAGTGCCACTTCCGGTTCTCTGGTGGTTAATTGGAGATAAGAACCTCATAGACTTTCCTGCTTGGCTGGCTTTGAACCATGATCCTCAGAT